CTCCGAAATCTACGATTTGTGTTCTTCAGCCATTTTAAACCCTCTTCATAGCTTACTGTGTGCAATCTGGGAAACTGAAATTTGCCCAAATGACTAGACCACATTGATCTTACTACCTTTCCCTACAAAGGGTGACAAATCAGTGCGCGAAAACTACAGAGGCATCGGCTTACTTGACGTGGCGGTGAAGCTTTTGCACAACTTTTGCTGAACCGCTTTGCTGCAACAAGGCACGCACGCACTCGTCCTAACNGGGTTGCGTCGGTCAAACATCCATTCTACGTCGACTCTTAGAACATCGTCAAAAGTTTCAACAACCCACAACAGTCTGCTTCATTGATTTTTGTGCGGCATTCGACTCCGTAGATCGCGAATCCCTCTGGAACATAGTTTTGGCCGATGGCATCCCGGTCAAAGTTGTCAACTTAATGAGATCCTACTATTCTAACACTAGCGCCCGAATCCGTATCTACGGAAAGGAATCTTGCCCGTTCGGGTTAGGATCTGGAGTACGACGGGGGTGCCCAATGTTCCCAATGCTGTTCAACTTTGCCGTGGACTGGATTAAGGGTCCTTTGATGGAAGGATACCAGGGAGTTCAGATCTCTCCCGAAACAGCGAGCGGCTCGAATCCGTCGAAAGCTTCAAATATTTGGGTTTAACCATTCTCCCCAACGGCCAAGCTAAAGACCAAGTGAAAATGCGAGTCAATGCTGCAAGAAGGGCGTTTTCACAGCTGAATAATCCCCTTTGCGAATAAATGAAATTAGTCTCAAGACAAAAAATCCGAGTTTTCTCCTCAGCAGTCCGTCCTGTCTTGCTATACGGCTGAGAAACCTGGCCACTCAGAGTCGAAGACTGTCACAGGTTACAACTCTTCGATCACTAGTGCTTAACAATCATTCTGGGAGTACGATGGAGGGATCAATTCTCAAATAAAGCGGTCAGAAATCGGTGTTTTAATCTTGTACAACTGCGGACGCTAATGCCACGGCAGCGAATGCAATGGTTTGGCCACATTCTTCATAAGTCCGATAACGACCTGACAAAAGCTGTCTTGGCACCGCCTCCCTGCCCGAACTGGTGCTGTCGGCACGGTAGACAGCTGAAAACCTGGCTTAACACGGTACGAAAGGATACAGAAAACCTTGGTCTCCGTTCCGTCTACGGCGCTCGCCAATGGAAGTCAAGCTGGATCACAATCTGCGCTGATCTTGCGGCGGATTTCCGAGCGTGGGCAGCGGTAATTCGAGATATCCATGGAGCCGGCTCATCCTGTCCCAGGAGTCAGCCGCCGTAAAGTAAAATAAAAGTAAGTATACGAAAAGGACGTGAAATAGACAACACAATAATTTTAATAATTTCGTCCTACACCGAATGAAGATATTGCATTAATCGGTGAACGGAGCAAGGAAAATGGGCACGCAGGCACTATCTATACTTTTTGCAAGTAAGGTTGTCTGAATATAATTTCAAGATGTCTGAGCATCATTTCACGCTCTCTCGTTGACCTCATCGATGCTGACAAGCCCCCCAGCGAAGTCTGGATGACCACCATGCAGCACAGATTTCTCTACCTCTCGTTTAAGCGCGGGGGGACGATTGTGAGGCGTGTCTCCGTCATACTCGCCCCAATTCCTATGACATACATATTGGTTGTTTATCTTGCTAGTACGCATCTGTGTGTGTGTTCGTCCGCTTCCCCCTGAAAAGTCATATCGGGCCATGCTCCGCTGATACGAATGAATCATGCGCGATCGACATACGCAACAATGCTGAACAGATTCACATTCAGTTTGTTGGACACCTTCAAGTTATATTCCATCCCTGTGACACTACCACAGAGCAAGCACCTTCAAGTACTGAACAATCAAAATAACCATGACGGGATGAGATATCTCCAACAAACTGCAATTGAACTAGCGTGACGACGGCTGTCAAAATATTCCAAACCTTTTATTATGGTTTCGGAATTTTATAAGAAATTACAAGTCCAACAATTGTAATGCTTTCAAAAATGAACTTTTCTGAGTATGGACCCCGAAATTGATAATCTTTGTCACTGAAATCATCTAGTCCTACTAAAACACTTCCAACACAGAAAGTAAGGTTTACATATGATATTCCCAAGTAGTAAACGCAAACTGGCTTATTCATGTTCTCACATGGAAAACCATGGCTCGGATATGCAAAATGCGTTTTAGCTGGTTTTACAGGTTAGGTTACGCTTTGGCAATTGCGGTTTGTCTAGGGCTGATCTACATTATGTAGAAAAAGTGTTCTGATCTCCTAACAATTACCAAATTATCGAACGTTTTCACAATTTCTGATTGGCAGTGGCTTCGGTAATCACTATTTTGGGAAAGACCACTGTGGTGTTCCCATTGTGAAACTGAATCGAGAAATGGGACTGTCTCGATAATTTATGCGCACCTCCGGTACTCGGTAAGCTTTATTTGGCAATTCGCTTGTTTACATCGAACTGGATCACATGGAGATGCCAATGCAACTCAAGGATTACATGACGCAACAAAAGGCCCCGACCCTGACCTAAGAAGTCAAGTCAAGTCAAACGGACCAAAACTGCAATCAAGACGGAAGGAATANCCCTTTCTACCCTCACCCCCTCACACCAGTTCAACCGCGAACCGAGTCGAACACAGTGAGAACAAGGGACAAAAATAGTTGGTGGAGAAGAACACGTATATAAAGGAACGGGTACGAGCAGAACACTGCCACTTCAAAGGCACTGATGATGTCACCTCGGTTTGTGATGAAATGTTTGCAAACAAAGTATCAAGCTCGGCGGACAGACGAAATGAAATTCAGTTCACCCGAGCTACGAGAACCGATTTTCAATACTTTGAATCGGATATGTACACGATTTGACACTCATTTGATAGCTAGTTTTGTCACTCTTTTTACTACTTGCCAAGGAAAATCCAGATCTCTGACTGACTGTTTTTTTACTACTTTTTGTGTCCTATAAAAGAGTGCTGAATTGGACTAGTAAATTATGCAATAAAAACAAGTTGTTTTCCAAATCGACTAGTTTTTAGTGTTTTATCCATGTTTCTATAAAGAGTTCCAATGTATTTTACATTTTGTATGACAACTTAACCTCAGTTTCATCTACATGGTTTTTACGTGAAGGAAGGAAGGCAAAAACCAAGATGGCTTTCTACATAGCACTCTACGTGTTTGATGGAGTAATGAGATTAATGTACTATGATCACTGGGCTCTCAAAATCACTAAAATTGCGTATATTTAAGTGAATAGGCCTGAGTTTTTTGCTGTTTTATTTTCCTGATTTACCTGCTTTAGGTTTCGATAGGCTTCTTTGTTGGGGATTCTCTGTACCAAGCGAATCGAATAAGTGCATTAGTGCAATAATAATTTATTTAATTGGTGGGGTGTATCTAATAGTTGTCCAAACAAACTTTAAATTTTGATTTTGCTGTTCTAGCGGACCGATCGTAAAAGCTCTGCACATATGTGCACACGTAATGTATACTCAAACCAAAATAGGAATCGGCTTGGAAGTGTGATCGGCATAAATATAAGTTGTAACGCCTAAGGATAGAGTGTCCTTTCGACCAGATCAGTCTTAATAGACTTGACTTTCCAACATGAACATGCAAAAAGGTTTGTTCAAAAACGGACCAGAGTTGTGAGGATTGGAAAAAAACTAGCAGATGGCCCTGTCATACTGGAGGGCAAGTTTCTCACATTGAAAATATGTGATCACGCGTGATAGTGAAGTGGACACTAACCTTTTTCGTTGCTTTCAGTTTCTTTTTCAATTCATCCAATTGTCTCTGTGCAGTGATCCGCATCTGAGTGCCGTTTTGCTGATGTTGTTTTGTTTCGGACTGCATAACAATCAGATCTCGCCTGAACCCAGCAGAGAACATAGGATTAATTAATTCTATTCAGGTATCACCTCACTGTTAACTTTAAGCTACTGTGAACTTTTTTCTTCATTTGGTATGTAATCTAGGGTGGAGTCTGTGACTGATTAAAATGGTACCAAAAAAGTTAATCACATTAAGAAATCGCTTTATGGAAATTTATGGGCCACTAATATTCAGCTACTATGCAAACACTATACAGGTGTTGACCAAACTCGTGCAACATCACCCTCATTTTGAAAACCCATTTCAGCTTGCAATAGCATTCTTATATATAGATGGTTATGAGTACAGTGTATTTATTCCTGACTTTATCTCCAACATCTACGTTCTTAGTTCATTTCTATCACCATTTGAATGTGCGCGACCTTGAGTGTCGCTATAAAATTTGCAGTAGTTCGAAAGTTACTGCTCTGATTTAGAAAATATTTTGGGCAAAGTAGCATGGGTGTTCATTCTTTTTAATAGATGATTC